TAGTTCCTGGTAGCAGTTTCAGGGTGGAGAAAGGAACACTAATGCTTGTGGTTACAAGGGAACAGGGGACCTTCCTGGATTAGCACAGAATGTAGACCAGGAGAGCAATGACCACACCTCTCCCCCGATCATACAATCTTGGAAGCACCAAAAACCTAGAGAATCCCAGAGCCAGCACTGTGAAAAAGGCTGGAGCTTGGGACAGTGACCATGCTATGCCACCTCCACCCCTAGACCCCCAACTCCAACGTAAAATGTAAAGTCAAGAAATAGACTGGAAAAATGAACAAACAACAATAACAAAAATAAATAAATAAATGGATAATCATGGTGACAGGGATGCTCAAGACACAACCTCTGAAGAAGACAATGACACATCTACAAGCATGGCCTCAAAGAAAAATGTACATTGGACACAAGTCCAAGAACAATTCCTAGGGGAGTTAAAGAAAAAGATGAAGAGAAAAAATATTTTAAAAATCAAAAAAGAGTGGTAGAAGAAAAATTGGGGAAAGAAAGTAGAGTAATACAAGAAAATTTGTGAAAAGAGAATTAACATCTTGGTAAAAGAGGCACAAAAAAAAATACTGAAGAAAATGCCTCTTGAAAATCCAAAACTGGCCAAATGAAAAAAAAAGTACAAAACCTCATTGAAGGAAATAATTACTTAAAAATTAGTATTGGGCAAGCAGAAGCTAATTTTTTTGTTACCATGAAACATCAAGACACAATAAAACATAGTAAAAAAATGAAAAAAAAATAGGGGAAATGTGAAATATCTCATCAGAAAAAAAAATGACACAGAAAATAGATGAAAAAGAGTTAATTTAAGAATTATTAGGCTACCTGAAAGCCATGATCAAAAAAAGTGCCTAGACATAATATTTCAGCAAGAAATAAAGAAAAACTACCCAGACATCTTAGAAATCAGAGAGCAAAATAGAAATGGAAAGAATTAACTAATCATCTCCTAAAAGAACTCTTAAAATAAAAACTCCCAGGAATAATATAACCAAATTCTAGAGCTACCAAGTCAAGGAGAAACTATTTCAAAGAGTTAGAAAGAAATAATTCAAATACCGTGGAACCACAGTCAGGATCCACAAGATTTAGCAAATAACATTACAAAAGAGTAGAGGGTTTGGAATATGATATTCCAGAAAGCAAAGGAGCTAGGATTATAACCAAGAATAACCTACCCATGGTTATTTATAATCCATATATAAATGGATATTTCATGAAATAGAGGACTTTCAAGCATTCATCACGAGAAGACCAGGGCTGAATAGAAAATTTGACATTCAGAAACAAGACATGAGTATTTAATAAGGTTAAACTGTTTACATTCCTATTCAGGAAGGTGATATATGTAACATCTAAGAATGTATCATTATTAGGGCAATGAAAAGGAGCCTACATAGACAGAAGGCGCAGTTGTAAGTAATTATGTTGGGATGCAATATCAGAAGAATAAGTTTCTTTGCCCACGTATACTCCTTATATGGGTAACTTCATTGCTGTAGTAGTACTCTAAGTTTGTGTGCAATCTTCCCATGCATACTTCATGCATTTGTGGGAGAAGGTGTCCCAGGTTTATGGTGGAAATATTTTTTTACAGCTACCATCTTTTCTTTGCTATCAAATAAATGCTTTTGCTTTTAGCTAATTGTACCTAATGGCTAACAGTCCATGTGAAGTTCATGAACTATAGGTTTTTGAGTGCAGACCTATGGGTTCCCCTTTGGAACCTGTAAGAAATAATAACCCATTTAGTGATCTAACATACAAACCTATGGGTTCCAAGCTAGGGGAGTATGTCAGAGGGATTGCTATATATATATGCTTAGCTTATCTTTATTCCACAGCTGCCCAGCTGTTGAAGGGATAGAATAAAGGGATATACGTCTAACCTACCTGAAAGGCCCCATACATATTTCTGCCTTCTTGGCCTCCGTGCTTTCCCAGACTCAACCTCTTCAGCTCTACTGTATCTGCCTCCATCACTGCTCTTGTAGCTTCTGCTACCCCTAGTCTAGGCCCTGGATCTGGTCCTGTCTCTGAGCCTGTCACCATCTTCAGCAAACACTGCCACTCAGCTTTCCTGGCCTTTTCCTCATTCCCTGACACCTGCTACTGCCCAACTCTTGGAAAGATGTGGGAACAGAAAGAGGAGCTGACAGCACACGCACTCCACTAGAAACTGGCTGTTCTGTGTTCAGGAAGGCCACTAGCCTATTTTCTTACTGCCCCTCACCCTCCATTGCCTTATATCTTTACAGATGTCATGGAGTGCATAGCCCTTATTTTGAGGACCACTGATCTAGATTATGTCCTAGCCTCTAATTAATGCTATGCTCAAACCATTAAAGAAAATTTCCGTTATTTTTAAAACATTCAGAGAAAAAGAGTCTATAACTACCTTTGATTCTTATGTCATAGGATCATAGATTTAGAGCTGGCAGGGATGTTAGAGGTCATCCAGTCCAACACCCTCATGTAACTGATGAGGAAATCAAGACCCAGAGAGGTTAAGCAACTTGTCTGCAGTCACACAGTAAGTGACGGAGGAGGGAGGGGGAAATCTTGTTTCTCAAATCCTATTTCCTAGAAAGGTGGTCTTTCTAATGATCTTTCCTATTGCAATTTAATGTTTTTCCCCCTCAGTGGGAACAATAACAAGAGTAGATTACATTACTATAGCCCTTTTGGATTGCATAGTGCTTTATATCAGGTGTATCATTTTAATATTCAAAACAAATCTCTGGGAAGGAGGGAGAATGAGATTTGGGTTGGGGATTGTTGTTTATTTTTTCCAAAAATGAAGCTAATTTGCCCATAGTTATACCAATTTCCCAATGGCAGAGATAGGACTAAAACCAGATCCTCTAGCTTCTAGTCTTATTCTGTTTCCACTACGAGTGATCCTAAGCAGCAGCAGTGGCATTTATATAGTGTTATGTACCATATAACATTTGCAAAGTACTTCACAAATATTATCTCATTTTATTCTCACAACAACTCTGGGAAGTAGATGGTACTATTATTCTCATTACATAGTTGAGAAACTGGAGGCATAGAGGTTAGCTGACTTGACCAGGATCTTAAAGCTAGTAACTGTCTATGACTATATTTGATATTATACCTCTTTTCCTCACAACAGATTAAACTTAGAAACAGTTGCTTCCTGACATACATAAAACATTATCTTGATATATGTTAATCATCTTAAATGTATTTTAATTCATGAATTTTGAAATTATATGCTTAAATAAAATTAATCACATATCTCCTATGGAACAGATTTGTGAGAAAAGATACATATACTGTTCATCTGTTTGAAAACTCTGCGGGTTTGTGATTTCCATTGCATAGGGTAGGGGAGAAAAATCCACAGTATAGAAGAAAAAGAAGTCATAGAATTAAGGACTAAATGGGATTATTGGCCAGATGGGTACTGTAAAGTAGTTGCAAGTGTTTACTTATGGAGGTGGGAGTAAGATAGGGACAAAGTACAGGTGATCAGTGGAGGAAAACAGCTGGACCAATTCAATTCAATGCAGACCTAGAAAGGAAGATAAATGTGAGAAAGAGAAAGATACATAATCTATGGAGGGGTTTGGAGAAGATATGTCTATTAAATTTAATATTATGCCTAGGGAGTCCTATTGAAATGCCATTATTAGAGAAAGGCAAATTAAAACAACTCTGAGGAACTACCTCACACTTATCAGATTGACTAACATGACAGAAAATAAAAAACCACAAATGCTAGAAAGGATGTGTAAAAAATAGGTAAACTAATGCAATGTTGGTGGAGTTGTGAACTGGTCCAATCATTCTAGAGAACAATTTGGAAATATGCCCAAAGGGCTATAAAACTGAATACCTTTTGGCCTAGCAATATCCAAAAGGTCTCTAGCCAAAGATGAAAAAAAAACCATACACACATTTGTGTGTGTAGTATGTATAAATATATACATATATATATATATATTATAGTGTATGTATACACACACAAATAGACAAAAATATTTATAGCAGCTCTCTTTATGGTGCCAAAGAATTGGAAATTGAGGGGATGGGATGCTCATCAATTAGGCAATAGCTAAACAAGTTGTGGTATGTGATTGTGATGGAATACTATTGTTCTATAAGAAAGGATAAGGGGGTGGTTTCAGAAAAATCTGGGAAGACTATATGAACTGATGCAAAGTGAAGTGAGCAAAACCAGTAGAACACAGTACACAGCAATACAATACTGTAATAAGATCAATTGTGAAAGACTTAGCTACCCTGATCAATATAATAATCCAAGAGAGAGAATTGATGAACTCAGTGCAGTTTGAAGGATCTTTGTTTTTCTAGCTTTTTTTTTTCTTTTATGCAACATGGCTAATATGGAAATATGTTCACAGGACTTCACATGAATAATGGGTATCATATTGTGTACCTTCTCAACAGGTGGAGGATAGGCTGGCTGGAGTGGGGAAAGAATTTAGAGCTCAAAATTAAAGTAATACATGTTAATTTTTTTTTAAAGTTAAAAAAGAATGTTTAAAAAAAAACTCCCTCATGCACTTAAAATATAGTTTGGTACTGAGACTAGGGCATTAGCTAGAACATCTGAACATTTTTAAAATTTCATTTAGTAGTAGCTTTCCATAATAAGTGGGGCTAAATATTTTCCCCCCAAATAGAAGTGTTTCCTAGCCTCCATGTTCCTTGTGTTAATGAAATAAGTAATCCAAAAATTCCAAAGACGTAACCTGTTAATCAAGATTTTGTGACTTTACATATCATGCCTGGCAGGATTTCCTCTGATATATGGATAGAAATGTCACAAAATTATTGATATTACTTATTTAAATCAGGATTTAACATGAGGCTTATAACCACAAAATAGAAATTAATTTACAGCTGAATGTTTAATCATTGGAGATTTCTTACATTAGTTGCAGTACGTATTAAAATTATCTTCTTTTTTCCCCCCTCATCTGTAGATATTGATGAATGTAGTACTGGGAGACACAGCTGTGCCAATGATACCATTTGCTTTAACCTGGATGGTGGTTATGATTGCCGGTGTCCTCATGGGAAAAACTGCACAGGAGATTGTATTCACAATGAAAAAGTTAAACACAATGGGCAGATTTGGGTGTTAGATAATGACAGATGTTCCGTGTGCTCATGTCAGGTTGGTATAGATAAGATTATTTATGTCTCCTCAGGATCATGGTTATTTATGAAGAATTATATAGAAATGAAGGCAGTGCAATACTAGTGAAAAAGAAATGATCTTTATAATTTAAAAATATTTTATATGTATGTTTTACATCACAGTTATTTCTGAGTATGTCTCTCCATTTCCGAACCCAGAGAACCACCCCTTGTAGCAAAGAGAAAGAGAAAAATTACAGCTTATGCAACATTCTATACCCACAGTTCCTCACTTCTGCAACGAAGGGAAGGATATACATTTTTTCAATTTGTCTCCAAAGCCAAGCTTTGTTATAATTATTAAATAAATTAGGTTTGGAATTTTTCCCCATTTACATTGCTATACACATTGTATTTATCATTTTGGTAGTTCTACTTACTTTACTCCTCATTCTTTAAGACTATACAAGTCTTTCCATACTTCTCTGAATCACGTTTGTCTAAGTAATATCTTTCACATTCATGTACCTTAGTTTGTTTGGTCATTTCTCAGTTAATGAATTGAGTTTATTAGCTAGTGAACTCAGTTAATGAACTTGTTTCCAGTTTTATGCTATTATAAAAAGTGTTGCCATGAATATTTTAGGTTATATGGGACCTTTATTTCTGTGTTTGGCCTTTGTGTGGTATACATCTAACAGTAGGATTTGTGGGTCAAAATGCTGGGTCATTTTAGTACCTTTTCCCTTCCTCATAATTCCAAATTACTGTCAGGAATAGTTAAGTCAATTCATATTTCTGGACATTGTGCATTAATGTACCTCTCTTTCTAAAGTACCTCCAGCAATAGTGGATTAGGGATCATGTCTTTCTAGCATTGACTATTCCCCTCTTTGTCAATTAGCTGGGGATGAAATGAAACCTCAGAGATATTTCAATTTGCATTTCTATTATCATTAGTGATTTGGAGCCACCTTTCATATGACTATTAATTTTTAAAAATAATTGTTCATATCATTTTATCACCTATCTAGCAGAAAATCTCTTAGTCTTATATAATTGTATTAAATCCCCTATATTCGGTGAAGCTCTTTTTTAATTTTTAAAAGATGCACATTGCAATATCTGTTCTACTAATCAGTGGCATTCCTATCGAGAGTACTTCATGTTAGCTACTAATGATAGAAATTTGCATCTATTTACAGAAAAACAGGGTAGCTAGGTGGTGCAGTGGATGGAGTTCTGAGCCTGGAGTCAGAAAGACTTTTCCTGAGTTCAAATTTGGCCTCAAACACTTACTAGCTGTGTGACCCCGGGCAGGTCACTTAACCCTGTTTACCTCAGTTTCTTCATCTGTAAAATGTACTAGAGAAATGGCAAACCACTTCAGTATCTTAGCCAAGAAAACCTGAAATGGAGTCACAAAGAGTCAGACACAACTGAAACAACTGAACAACAACAAAAAAACAGATAGGTTTACATATTGTAGAAGCATTCCACCCAAAGGAAACACTGATTTGTTACTAAATACTGAAACTTTAGTACTCAGATAGAAATCACTGGCATTCTAGGGAAATATATCATAGTATTTTATTCAGGCTATTTCAGTCAGTTGAAAATAGGAAGGACAGTTTATAACTGCAAAGGAAGTTTCTCTGTTTTTGGTCATTTCTATGCAAGCTACATAAATGGAACTTTGACAAAATTATTATAACAATAAATATTTAAGTAAAATCAGGGAACTTCAATTTGTTGTAAACCTTGTTATTGCATAGCACTTTAACTGCAAAATTAACCCTCAAGTGGCTTTCTTTGTGGCATTTTTCATAGTGAGAAACTTAAAGGTTTTTTACTAATACTACTGTTTCTCTTATTATGACAGAATGGGTTTGTCATGTGTCGCCGGATGGTCTGTGACTGTGAAAATCCCACTGTTGATCTCTTTTGCTGCCCAGAATGTGACCTCAGGGTTACCAGTCAATGTCTCCATCAGAATGGGGAAATCTTATACAATAGTGGAGACACCTGGGTACAGAGTTGCCAACAGTGCCGATGTTTGGTAAGTTTGGCTCAGTGAGATGAACTGTCACGTATCTTTGACATCTGACTTTTTTCAATCTGAGAACTCTTTCATTTGAAACTATAACTTTTAGTCTTTGAGTTGCCTGAGACTCACAACTAGTAAATGTCAATGGAAGGATTTGAACCCAGTCGTGGGTGTGTATCTCCCTGACTGCCAGGATCTCACAACCTCTAAAAGAGACATATTCTAGAGAAAACAGATATTGTGAATAAAATTCAACAAAAGGGTAAATTGAGGCAATTTTCCAAGCATAATATCATTTCTTAACAGCAGCATGATAGCTAATAATGAAGGATGGGTGTCTTGATAGAAATTCTCAGAGATAAAGTTTTAAGCACGATCAATCAATTTATTAGTTAGGCTAGCAGTAACCAATAATTTGGGTCATTGGCCTTTTGATGACCAAAGACCCAGTGCAAAGGCCAACAAGGCTTTTTAAACCTAGGTGTGTCTTCCTTCTGACTGGTCTGACAGCCCATCATTTGGACCTCTCCTAGCAAAGGCAAGGCAATCCCAGTTGGTAGACATTTTAATGAGGAGGTGGGTTAAGCAGCTCCTCCCTATCTCTTCGTCATTGGGGAAGTAGGATGCCTTTCTCTGACATTTGAAGAATGCTAGTTGCTTTATGAGACCCAGCTGCCTCTAGCAGTCTTGGTTAAAAAAACAAAAGCCATCTCAATCAGGTTTCCCCCAGTTTGGTCTCCACCACTGTAGATCAAGTCACCCTTAACTTTAGTCAGAAAGCAAGAACAGGAGACTTGTCCTTTGGAAGGGCCTAACTGGGCTGATTCTCTGTCTACAGGGTAAACAGAAATGAGGGTCTCACTTGGAAGGAGACCAGCCCAAGCTGGTTATTGAGCAGCTGCCTTGGGTGTTGGGAGTGATCACATTACTTGATCTTGCCCTTCAAAAACTGCCTGCTTTTCAGAAGTGGGGTATGACAAAATGAGGAAAAGGATGAATCACAAAGTTATTAAATTGGTTATTAAATAATACAGCATAATGTTAATTTTCCTCACAGCCTAGAAAATAGTCAAAGATGTAGCCATCACTGGCATTGAGAAATAGATCAATGACTTCTAAAAGTTTAGATGTTCTCCACACCCCAGACCTTGGGAATGATCAGACCCATGGCAGCATCATCCCAACCGACAACATTCTCTATGGAAACGCAAAACAAGCGTACCCAAAGTAACACAGGAAAAGGCATATAGATAATAAGACACAGTTGTAGACTAGGAAGGTCCCATAGAGGTCATTTGGCTCAATGCTTTCTTTTCATAGATAAGGAAACTGAAGCCCAGAGAGGTTAAGGCACTTGCAAGGTCAAAGTAGTAAATGCCAGAACTAGAATTCTACCTCAAGTCCCATAACTTTAAGTTCAATACCTAAACCCAACAGCCACACTGCTCTACTATGTCAAGGCCCTACCAGCTCTGCTTTTCCTCTTTCACTATCATGCAGTTCAAGACCAACAGGCAAAGATCTAATACCAGTAGTAAAAGTCTTGATTTTCTCTTCTTTTATGTGCTAGCCCCTTCCAAAGGAAGCCAGTACAACCGTCTTCTGAACAATTGTATGTTTCCTTGGATAATTTATACATAGCATCCCAAAAATTTTAGTGCAGTTTTAAGCTATCAAAGCTTTGTTGTTGTTGTTGTTGTTGTTGTTGTTGTTGTCGTTGTCGTTGTTGTTGTCGTTCAGTCATTTTTGACTCTTCACGACCCTGTGGACCACAGCACACCAGGCCCTTCTATCCTCCACTGTCTCTCAAAGTCTGTCCAAGGTCATCATTTCCATGACACTATCTATCCATCTCATTTTCTGCCATCCTCTTTTCCTTTTGCCTTCAATCTTTCTCAACATCAGGATCTTTTCCAATGAGTTCTGTCTAATCATATGTAGCCAAAGTATTTAAGCTTCAGCTTCAGAATTTGACCTTCTAGTGAACAGCCCAAATTAATTTCTTTAAGTATTGACTGATTTAACCTCCTTGCTATCCAAGGAACCATCAAAAGCCTTCACCAGCACCACAATTAGGAAGTGTCAATTCTGCAGCACTCAGCTTTCCTAATAGTCTGACTCTCACAACCATACATCACTACTGGAAAAACCATAGTTTTCCAGAACTTCTTTGGCAAAGTGATGTCTCTGCTTTTTAGTATGCTCTCCAGATTTGCCATAGCTTTCCTAAACTTTACTTATTAAGCCTATTAAAGGTTAAAACTGCACTGTCTTTTTCTGACACCATGTACTAAAACAAAGGACATGTAAGAGGATGTATTTGCCATCCATGATTCTAAAAGACAAGATAATAATTTCTTTGGTTACCTTGTGTGGTTAAAATCTCCAAAAAGCTCCCCAAATACCTGTGATTAAACTTTAGTTTCATAAACAAAATTACAAATTTTTTCTTAAGTAATGTGTTGTTAATCCATTTTTGTCAATTATGCTTAAATTTTTTTCAATGTTTGGTTCACCCCACCCCCAATTTGGAGATTATTGCCATCTACACCATTCTGTACATGCTCATGAAATTACCAGTAGAAACAATAATGGAAGAAAGGGCTTAGAGATAACTGTCTTATTTTATCTATTCAAATTTCCTGTGTCTCTTGACAATATTGTAAATTACAAAGAAAACTGTAGTTTACAGAAGATTTTTTTCATTCAAGATGTTACTTTTAAAGTGTGAAAATCAATTGAAAGAGCAAGGTTGATTTCTATACTTGAAGGCTACTTCAACACCATAAAGTTAAGAAATGTGTAGTAAAACATTTCTAAAATATTTTAAAATACCTCCATTTTAAAAAATAGACCAAATTTATACATTTTTCTTATGGTGAATAACAAAGGTTGAATTAAACTTGGGTGTGTGGGAATGAGGGATTTTTTCAATGTTTCTACTCTTGTAAATTCAGAAGTGAACACAATCTAAATTGATAAATGCATATACATGATACAAACATAATGATTTTCTTGTAAATGAACAAAACTTCTTTTATTCAGGAGGAAATAATTTTTAAAAGTCAAGAAAAGGCACCTCACATAAAAGTCACAACTCTATATTTCAAAGATATTTCTTCTATCATAGAAAGGAAGGCAGCATGGAAATTTTATTCTTACCAAAGGGAATTGTGTTTTGAAATTCTTTTGAAATTTACCTTCATGCACGTTTGTTTAGAGGACTTTTGTATAAACCCTGAATGATCTATACTGTTGACAATTAGAGTTGGTTTTAAAAGCCAAATTCATATATTGAATATTCAGCACTCTGTTTTCTTCCTCCTTCTCCTTCACCTTCTCTCATTCCCTTTCTCTGAGATTATGTCTATGTTTTCTTAATAGAAAGGGGAAGTTGATTGCTGGCCTCTGCCTTGCCCAGATTTAGAGTGTGAATTCAGCATGCTCCCAGAGAGTGAGTGCTGTCCACGCTGTGTCACTGACCCTTGCCAGGCTGACATCATACGCAATAACATTATGAAGACTTGCCTGGATGAAATGCATGTGGTTCGTTTCACTGGATCTTCTTGGATTAAGCATGGTACTGAATGCACCCTCTGCCAATGCAAGGTAAGGAACATTAAATTTAAACTATGAATCTGTTTTAAGAGGTGTTATAAATATTAATTTGTTTAATCTGGACAGTTGAAAGCTAAATTATCCACTCAGTATTCCAAGCAAAGATGACTCATTTTTATTAATATTAGCTTTTCTTGTCAAAATTGAAAGATTTTAACAAAAGAAACTATATTAACACAACAGAAACCACCTAACAAAATCATGCAAGTTTGATCGAGTGCTATGCTATTTCTAAAAAACAAACAAAAAAATGCACCAAAAAATCCTGTATTTTTTCATGGCAAAAAAACATTTTTGTCATTGGCCATATGGCTATTCACCAGTTTAAAAATTAGTGTTTGATTCCTTCATGTGATCTGAGGAGTAGATGTCAGCCACACAAAACGTATTGTGCAAAGTTAAAATGAATACTACAAGAATGGATATCTTCTTGGGAAGTAATAATTAAAAAGTGTTTTGCAAACTTTATACAATTGTGATTAATAATATTATCAGTTACATTAAAAGTGAAGGAATTCTTGCTTGGCTCTATTTCATCTATACTTACAAAAATTTTTGTTAAGTTTTCTTTGCTCTTGAAAGATAATATTAAAAGTATATCATTTTGAGGGCAGCTAGGTGGCGCAGTGGATAGAGCACTGGCCCTGAAGTCAGGAGGACCTGAGTTCAAATCTGGCCTCAGACCAAACACTTGACACTTACTAGCTGTGTGACCCTGGGCAAGTCACTTAACCCCAATTGCCTTAAAAAAAAAAAGGCAAAAAAAAGTATATCATTTTATTAGAGTCAATACATAAATATTTATGTTAAGTATTTGGATAGTGAGAGATGAATATATTCAACTAAAATAGTAATTTCTATTATGAAAATAAATTATAGCGGCCTCTTTCCTTTAACATATAACTATATAACCTATCTCCTATCTAAGTAACAATACTTCAGAAAACTATTTTTTTCTTTAATTAAATATTTTCCCCAATTACACATAAAAACAATTTTGCCCTTTATTTCTTAAAGTCTTTGAGCTCCACATTTTCTCTCTCTCTCTCTCTCTCTCTCTCTCTCTCTCTCTCTCTCTCTCTCTCTCTCTCTCTCTCTCTTTCTCTCTCTCTCTCCCCCCCTTTCCCCCCACCCATTGAAAAGGCAAGCAGTTTGATATAGATTATACATGTGCAGTCATGCAAAACATACTTCCATGTTAGTCATGTTGTGAGAAAAAAAAAAGACCAAAAAACCCAAGAAAAATAAAGAAAAAGTATGCTCCAGTCTGCATTCAGATTCCATCAGGCCTTTCTTTGGAGACAGACAGCATTTTTCATCATAAGTCCTTCAGAATTGTCTTAAATCATTATATTGCTGAGAAGAGCTAAGTTATTAACAGTTGATCATACAATATTGCTGTTACTGTACACGATGTTCCCCTGGCTCTACTCATTTCACTTTGCATCAGTTCATGTAAGTCTTAGAAGAGATATACCTCTATGTGTGTGTGTGTGTGTGTGTGTGTGTGTGTGTGTGTGTGTATGTGTGATTTATCCCTATCCCCGCCAAGTTTTTTTGTTCTACTTTAATTCATTATACACAAGTTGTGAGTGAGAAATGTGGTTCAAGATAAGGTAGCTATGAATTTCTTCATCTGCTAGTAGTCTTAGATTTAACACCTTTCTTCATCTATACCATAAACGTCTCTCAGCCAAGAACTTTTGTTTTAATTTTTCCTTACTGATGTTGCTTTATCCATTCCAAAAGCTTGCTGCCTTATACATCACAGAATTTGCTAATAAAATAATTTGACCAAAACCTTTTTCTGCTGTGGCAGAACATATTTTTCAGAAAAAAATAATAAACCCATCTGACATGGTCCCTAGTTAAACATTCCTGACTATACCAGTCTTATCAATGACTCTTTCCTGTGTCCATATGGCCATTGGCAGATGGCTACAAAATTTTTATAATTGTCGTTGGTAATTGAAATCACATGTACACTTCTGGGGCTTGTGTCATAATAATAATAATAATGATTGTTATTAATTTGTGATTGAAATATGCTATGTACACTATTTGGGTTATGCTACAATTCTATTTTATAAGCAGGAATGAATGTTCAGTGTGAGGCATAGTTAGAACCATTTCACAGCAATTCTTTTGTTTCTGAGTACCCTCTAACCCCAAGAAGTACAGAGAAGTATTAGTTGTCCCTAACCAAACACGGTTAGTTAGATTTGCTACTTATATTCATTTAGATACCTACTTTAAAAAAAGTAAGATCCTGAGATTACAATAATTCAGAAAGGAGTCACTTTATTTTTTTTTCACATAAGCTCTATATAGTTACCCTGATTTTCTAAAAGGCTTCTTTTTTCCTATCCTAATTATTTTGTTTTGTAGACTTTAAAATTTTTTAATATCATATGAGTAAACACGATCTTAAAATTGAAAGAATTAGGTCCAAGGATATGCTGGGTGGTGAAAGAAGAAGACAATGAAGAGTTAACATGTAATTTGGTCACTATGATAGAAATTTGGTTATACTTTAGATTAAAACAGATGTAGAAATGTCATTCATTTTAAATAAATAATTTGCTTATGACTTTAAAAAATTAACATCATTCTTTTCTCCCTTCTACCAGAATGGTCATGTCTGTTGTACAGTGGATCTACAGTGCCTTCAAGAACTATGAAGTTAACATCTGTCTCTAACAAGAGGTTTCTGGTTAAAGACTTTTACTTTACTAAAAAAAAAGTCCAAAAACTCAATAGTCAAAACCAAAATTGGACCAGTTGCATGTGGTGAACATGTGGATCTATTTTGAGCTTTTAATTATAGAATTTATAGATCTTGAGGAAACCTCAGATGGAAAAATCAATGGATTAAGTCAGAATACACTTCTGGCTATTTTGTTTTTGACCTGACTATATGGGATGAGTATGGAATACATAGTGATGTCAAAACTACTGGAAGCAGACACTGATCCTGTTTGATATTTGAAGGCAGCTTTCTTCATTTGGTGCAGAAAATTATAGCTTATGTTATCTTCATATATTGCTTGGGGTCCTCGCTATAACTTTTTTAGTCAGTGAATGGAAAACATTTTTTACAAGATAGATAACCTATGATGTTTTATGTATAATACATACTCAGAAAAAAAATACAAGTTACAGGAAAAAATGTATAGGCATGGATGCTTAATGTTTTCTGATGGGAAAGTCATCTCTATTTACTTCGGGGAGTGTGTGTGTGTGTGTGTGTGTGTGTGTGTGTGTGCATGCGCGTGTGTGCACATGTGCGCATTTAATAGTACTTGATTAAATTCTTGTGCAAAATTTAAATAAATATCTCTTACATTATATTTGTGACCTTTTGAGTACCCCTCCCCTTTTAAAAGAGAATGTATCCTCTTATTCTTCTAAGTTCATCTATACTTTTCTCACAAATGGATCAATCCTCATTTGTGTTTTCCCATCAGGCTCCTTAAAGTGTTTTTTTCCTTGAAATGAGACCAAGGAACAAATGGTGGGAGAGGGGAAAGTAAGAGGCAGGAGTTTTATTACATCATATATCAGTGAAATTCCCTAGAGAATATGTCTTCAGGACTTGTCTCTTCTAGCTTTAAAATTGTATGATCTCATTTATCTAAGGTAATAATAGAAAGCCCTAATTTGTTACAAGAAACATAAGCCTTGCTGGAATGATACAACTTCTGATTAGTCCCCTAGTAATTGCTGAGGAACCTTCCCCTCAAAGTCCAACCTTCAAACTTTCTCCCTTAGACTTGTCTCCTGTTGGACAGACTTTCTCATCCTTGGACTTCCAGGCAATTAGGAAGGAGGGAATTTCTCTGCCGTCCTCCCAAAAGCACTAATAGCTTACAGCAAAATCACTTGGAAGCATGAAATGGACCTTGAGCCTCAGGTTGCCTCTTTTTGCCTTTCCCTGAATATAGTTTAGTAACTAGAAATGGATCTTTCTAGCATTGGTGGTTAGTTACCACATGGGTCAAGAGTTAAAGAACTTAAGGTTTAGGAATCTAAATTTAAGTTTTTGCAACAAAATGCTTCTCAAGGGAAAAATGATCATCGCTAGGATCATCCTGTAGCTGGGAAGGACTAAAGGCAGCCATTCCAGGAGAGATGAACTTGTTAGTTAGCCAGATGGTGCAGGTCTAAAGTGAATGCAAAATATCAATCCAGCTGTTTCAATCATGGTCTTTATTTTGGGGGGAGGAGTCTAATGAGGCCATTTGAGATATATTATGATTCCTGTATCTGTTCATACACTAAATAATTTGTGTTTTATGCATTTTTGTGGTGGAGGAAATAAACCACTAACTTGATAATCATATTGTACATTGAGTATTCTTTTTTTACAGAGAAACCTGTTGCTCACATTTGGGGGAAACCCTAGACCCAAGTCGTGTCTAAGTTTTGTGTCAGCAATTTTCTGGAAGTTACTCAAGGATGAGAGCAGAACCAGAGGTCAATAATGATTCATTTAGGGGTTCAGGATCCCAGGATAGAACTAAGCTCTGTGTAAGTCCAGAGCTCTTCCCCCTATTCCTCCATTCTCTCAACCCCACCTCAGAAGCCATGGATTATATGATTTAAAAATAGACTGATAATTCATTAAAGCTACTGCATAAACCACAGGGATAGAAAGCAGATATAGGAGTATGGCAGGGGACTAGAAATGTAAGTATTTTCTAAATAATTTTTTAAAAGAGAAGTATGGAAGATGGTGGAATAAGCAATAAATCACTGTAACTCTCCCATATTCACCTCCAAACAACCATAAAATAGAACCCTGAAACAAATCCTGGAAGAGCAGAATCAGCCCACAAAACTTGGAAAACTGCCATGAAGGGTCTGTCTCACCCAGGCAAAAGGGGAACACATTCCAGGACAGGAAGTGTCCCAGTAAACCAGCAGCAAGCCCCACCTCAGCAAACCAATGGGAGATCCTGAGCCCCAAGGCAGTAGTGCAAGCAAACACCAACACCAGGGTCCCCTCTATGCCTCAGCATAGCCAGGGGAATGGGCAGACTCCAGCAGCCAGAACTCTACATAGTCTCAGGGAAACAAAAAAACACCCCCACTACCTTCAGCACACACCAGACACAAGCAGTAGAACTCCAGTTCAGCATCAGGCAAGCTACCAGACTCCTACAAACTCCAGCAGCACCAGCCACCTCACCCCACCCCACCCCATCAGAGTAGCACCAGACAAATTTATAAGAATACAAGTCATTCTCCAATTGATAAATAATCAAAGGACATGAACATGCAGTTTTTGGATGAAGAAATTGAAGCTATCTATAGCAATATGAAAAAAGGCTCTAAATCACTATTCATTAGAGAAATGCAAATTAAAACTGTGAGGAACCACCTCACACTTATCAGATTGGCTAATATGACAGAAAGGGAAAATTATACACATGCTGGAGGGGATGTGGGAAAAGTGGGACACCAATGCACTGTTGGTGGAGCTGTGAGTAGATCCAACCATTCTGGAGAGCAATTCGGAACTATGCCCAAAGGACAACCAAATTGTGTATACCCTTTGAACCAGCAATACCAATACTCGGGGCGGGGGTGTGTGTGTGTGTAATATGGTGTGTTTAGCAGAGATCAGACTAGATAGTCAACATTCAGAACCTGGAATATGATGATAACACTCAGTCCTTGGTACAGGGTACTCTCTAGGCCCTGGCACAGAGGAGCATTGCTCAGCCATTGGCATTGGAGGGTATTTAGTCACTAGTTATTAGTGCCTTTGGTATGAGGGCTGCTGAGCCCTTTTCAGGGCTACTTTCTACCTTGGCATCCACCTGATTTATCCAACTCTCATCTGTGGCTCCAAGAAGCTATAGCATGTACAGTGGCCATACCCCAGTAAACTATTTTGGCAGATTTACTAAATCAATTTGAGGCTAACCAAGGCATCTCAAGCCCTTTGGTGGGCTTGTCTACCCCAAGTATGTGAAGACTTCCTCTGGTGAAACGGGTGAATAAGAACAATTTGTTCCAGCAATCATGAAAGTGGCTGAAGCAGGCATTGTGGAGCACTTAGAGTTTGCTTAGACATTGAAGATACCACTGCATCCTGAGCCAGCCACCTTTACCATGTCTTGCCACTGGACTTTGATGACTCTGGAAGAGAGAGTGAGGCTGATGATTTCATATAATTCTGCCTCACTTAAACCCAATTTATGCATGAATCAAAAGACATCACCCATACTATTTTACCATTTTTAGCTACCTCAAAGTCTTGTGGCTACATGCAAATGATGAAGCAGCAGATATGGATACACTGGGAGCTGTAGTCACCTTAGGTTGAAGTCAGTCCCTCTACATGAACTTCCAACTAAAGAAGTGGTTTTGAATTCTGTTAGGCTTCTCTCACATGGCAAAGCATCTGGTGCTGATACTATTCCAGATGAAATTTGCAAGGCAGGGATTCCACTGGTCATACAAAAGCTGACTGAAATTCTCTAAGTTATATAGCAAGAGGAGCTTATCCTCTGGGATTTCAAGGATGCTTCTATTTTCCATCTCTATAAAGGTAAAAGAAATAAATTGTCCTATGACAATCACAACGGGTCTCTCTTAGTCATTGCTGGCAAGATTCTTGCCAGAGCCCTCCTTAATAGGCTTGTCCATCACCTGGAAGATAGTCATCTACCCGAGAGTCGGTGTGCCTTTAGAAAGGACTGATGAAATGTTGATACAGCATTTGCTGCCTGATAACTCTAGGAAAAATGCCAGGAGTAAAACACAAAGTTCATCAATCTGACCAATGTCTTCGATACTGTCAGTCACAAGGACTTATGGAAAATTACGGCAAAATTTGGTTGCCCAGAGAACTTCATCAATATTACACTTCAGTTTCATGAAAGCATGCTTGCATGGGTTCTGGATAACGGACAATGCTCTCATCCTTTCCTAGTCACCAGTGGAGTGAAATAGGGCTCTGTGCTTGTTTCCCATGTTCAGCATGGTGTTTTCAGCAATGTTGTCAGACCCCTTCAATGAGGATGAAAATGGTATAAAGGTCAGTTACTGTACTGACAGGAAATTATTTAACTTAAAAAGCCAAGACTAAACTGAATGAAGAGTTGGTACACAATTTTTTGTTTGCAGATGATTGTGCACTCAATTCAGAGGGTGAATTGAAACAAAATATGGATCCCAAAAAAGTGAAAGAGAGAACAACATATCTGGAACACAAATATCTTGAAGTAAAAGACAAACTGGAAGAAGGTAAGCAAAAAGCAGTAATGTTGAAAAAAATATATGAGCTATGTACAATCAAAACATACAAAAGAAAACACTATCAAATTCCATTTATGAGAAATTTTTTTTTAATTTTTAAATTAATTTATTTTAAGTATTCAACAGTCACTTCCATAAGACTTCAAGTTTTAAATTTTCTCCACCACCTCCTCTCCCCCCTTTCCAGGATAGCATGCAATCTGATATAGGCCATACATATATATTCTTATTAAACATATTTTCATATTAGTCATGTTGTAAAGAAGAATTAGAACAAATGGGAGCAACCACGAGAAAGAAGAAACAAAACAAAATAAAATGAGAGAGACAGAGAGAGAAAGAGAGAGAGAGAGGGAGAGCGCACAAATAGTATACTTTGATCTGCATTCAGACTCCATAGTTCTTTCTTTGGATGTGGATAGCAGTTTCCATCGAGTCTTTTGGAGTTGTCTTAGATCATTGTATCGCTGAGAAGAGCTAAGTCTATCAAAGTTAGTCACTACATAATGCGGCTGTGACTGTGTACAATGTTCTCTTGGTTCTGCTCACTTCACTCAATATTAGTTCAGGTAAGTCTTTCCAGGTTTTTCTGAAGTCCACCTGCTCATCATTTCTTAAAGCACAATAGTATTCCATTACATTCATATACCACAATTTGTTCAGCCATTCCCCAATTGATGGGCCTCCCCTCAATTTCAAATTCTTGGCCACCACAAAAAGAGTTGCTATAAATATTTTTGTACATGTGGGTCCTTTTCCCATTTTTATGATCTCTTTGGGATACAGCCCTAGAAGTACTATTGCTGGGTCAAAGGGTATGCACAATTTTATAGCTCTTTGGGCATAGTTTCAAATTGCTCTCCAGAATGGTGGATCAGTTCACAACTCCACCAACAATGCATTAGTGTTCCAATTTTCCTACATCTTTTCCAGTATTTATAATTTTCTTGTTTTCATTTATGAGAAAATTATTGAGAAACTAGTAAAGAAATAATTTTTCTTGTGTCTGTAGAATATTCTATATGAAAAAATATTTTAAAAAGAATGATCACTTCTGGAAAACAGCAAAAGCATATTTCAGAGGAAAAATCACATTTCTGTGAATACACAGAAAACATTAAAAAGTGAAAGCCAATAAATTCAATGTGCAATTAAAATGGAAAATCTACAAATAAACAAATTTAATAAAACATAAAGCAGGAACTTTTGAAAATTAAGGGAGAAATTGATAAATTAGAAACCAAAAAGGCTATAAAATTAAAATATGATTCTTTGAAAAGATTAGCAAAATTGATAAAAACCTCTTAAATAACCTCATTAAAGAGAAAAGAGAAGAAAATCAGATTGAAAAATGAGTAAAGTGAAATCACAAGAGATGGAAGAAAAAAGGCATTATCACTACCAACTACATACAATTACATGCCAGCAAAATTGAGTAATTTTTTTTAAATGGAGAGATATTTACAAAAAGGCAAAGCACTCAAATTAATAGATCATGAAATAGGAATTTCAATTTTTTCAAAAAGAAAGGGACACCAAAGAGAGAAAAATAAAAGGTGGTCTGGATTGATTTACAGGGCAATTCTACCAATATTAAAAAAAAAAACAATCAAAATCTATGCTACACAGATTATTATCAAAAATTGAGAAAGAAAACACTATCAAATTCCATTTATGAGAAAACAAATCTTAATTCCTAATCAAAGTAAGAATAAAACACAGAGAAATAATGATGTCATCAATGAATTTACACATTTTTTAATGAAAGCTGTCAAATGACAACAGCAAAATATTTTTAAAAATTCACTATGATCAATTTGGATTTATCAACATTACAAAAATAATTAGTATAACCACATTAAAAACAAAAACTTCCCCAACCCTTGATTATACCAACAGATGAAGAAAAAGCTTTTGACAGTATGTAACATATTTTTACATTTGAAGTGCCAAAATCAGACCATAGGACCTTTAAATGTGATTGAAAAATACATATGTAGAGCAAAAAATAGGATTACATAAAATGTGGAAAAATCAGAACATTTCCCTATCAATAAGAAGCAAACCAATG